GAGGACACCTATACCACCTATATCGACTATGCCGACTTAATTGAACAAATCCACATTCGTCTTACGCAGACACCGCTCGATCACGAAGCTGTCTTACCAGCCCTTCGCTGGTTGGCCAAACCTCCAGAATTCTCTGGCTTGTAGCCTATGATTTCAGAGCATCCTGGCATCAGCGCTCAGTGGGGGCCAATGATCCGCATGAAGGATCCGAGTCCGGGTCCGGCCGAGGCTCCCGAGCATTACGGCGACCACTCTCACCAGCCTCGGAAAAACAGCGAGCCGGTTCCGGTTTCCTGTCGTTCTGCGTGTATGTCAAGCATGCGCTGAGAAAGCATCCTGCTCATTGTGCCAAGTTGCTCCATCCCGCAAGATAGCATATTCATTGCGGCACAATGCTGGCCATTTCCTTGTCGTCACAGGACTTCTGCTCCAGTCCAGCCGAAACTACTGCGTTAACAACGGTCTGTTGGCGAGTTCAAGCCAAGCTGCGCATGAGATGGAGCACTATGCCTGGCAGGGTATCTTCCATGTCAACGTGATCCATGCCACAAGAGCAAATGTGGCTTGCCCAGACATGGGCATATGTCTCGTTTCATCACATGTTTCATGCCATCTTGCAGGCTTCAAGCCCTCTACCGACTCTACCAGGCCAACCTGCCAAGTGAAAGTGGAAGACGAAAAGGAGTACCTGAGGTCGCACGAACATGGATCCATTTCTTGGCTAGGGAGCCGGCTCATGCACAGCCAACATTCTGGTCAACCGCAATTGTACCCCTGTCTCTGTTGCTGAAGCTACCCGTCGTCAACGTCCGAGGCATGCAACTCCTATAGTTAGCGACCTTCCCTTACCGAGTTACACTGAAGAAGATGCCAACGAGAAGGCTCCTGTACAATGGTGAGTCCCTCCTTAGCAGGGTGCAGCAAACAAGCATGCTCGACCTCAATACAAACAGGGAGAATCCATGCAGTTGGATCAGACTTCACGCCAAACTGGCAGCTGCAGTCTGCCGAAAGTGTTGTCACCCCAGGATGCGGGAATCTGAGTGGCAGTAATCCGACATTGCCGGCAGGAAGCAGGTGCACGTACACCTTGTCAAACAGGTTCATCAGGAAAAGTCCAACTATTTGCAGCTCTTTCAGACCGAGAACCCTTTGAACTGATTCATGCGACACTTGTTGCCTGTCTTCTCATGGCTTCGAACCCTGCTTATGGCTAAGCCGCCAACCGTTAAAATCCATTGGGTTGCGAAACGCGAAACTGCTATTCACAAAGAGCCACGCCATTCGGGCTCTCCCACCGCGCGCCGTTGTCAAGCAGTTTTGGAGTTTCCAATCCAGCATCCGAAATCGTGCTCTTGCTACGGTGCCGTGGCCCGTCTCTTGTTTTCGCACGTTTTCCTTGGAAGGCTTAAGCCCTGCTCCCGCCGCAGTTCTTGCGCTTGTCTTCGTCTTGCTGCGGTCTTCACAGTGGTCCGGGATCAGTCCATGTTGCAACATGGTGAGCTTGGTGTTCGCTACTTGTAGCGATTATGCATGACTTGCCACTGATATGTCGATATGTCTATGCCGAGAAAACTGTACATGATTTCATTACACATTGACATAAACGGCCATTCAAGCAGCCGGGGAGCTCCCTTGACTCGGCCGATGGGGGAGGCCGGATTGACTCCGCCAGGCGGCACACCGCGCAGCAACTGACAGGGAACTGCAACTCAGCAGTTATGCGCCACCGACGGACACGTGTACAAAGATTACAAGTACAAAGCACGCGCGCACACACACAGACATACTTACTTCGTGATATTCATGGAGGGGACTGCGTCCTGAGCTGAGGGACCTTAAAAGACTTGCCGACACTTCCCGCTCGCACGGAGCCCCGGCCTCCGCGCGCGGATCTCGTCTGCTCTGGAGCGGCTCCTCGGGTCAGAAACCGCAGAGAGGCTGTGGCTACCAGAGGAGCGAACCGGGGAGAAGGACTGTCTTACTCTCTTGGGAATGCGAAGCCCTTGCAGTCAGGCTGCGATCTTCTCAAACCACTTGAGGACCAACTGCACGGGTTTTAGAACGACTGCCTGCAGGGACAGCTGATCTTGCCATGGGGCCGCATGGAGCCTCAGCTGAAGCCCTCTTTCGGCCTCCGGATTGTTTTTGTACTCGTCCATCGTCGGCTCACGCAGTTCAGTGACGAGATCATCGTAGGAGGGCACGGAGAAGTTTCGGTCCAGGCCTTGGCCCGAGTCCAAGGTTCAAACTTTCAGGGTCAGATCGCTTGCACTGCTAGAGATGCAAATAGACGGAAGTGGAATCATTGCACACAGCAAAGAACCCTGAACAGTCAAGCGGAATCGCTTGGAAGCCGGCTCGTCGTACGAGTGACTTCGGAGTTGGACTTGCGGCTCTTCCGCTCGTAGCAGCAAGTGCAGCAACGCTGAGCGCCCTGCGAAGCGGTTTCGGCGGCTTGGGCTGATGCTTGAAGCTCTCTTCAACTGATCGGCCGATCGCTGCTACCAGAATAGGGTGGAAGGACAACGCCATGCACGCCGCCTACGCTGCCTAAGTTGAGGTGTGCACGCGACAACTCAGATAGGGGGACCGGGGGACCTGAACCAGATGCACACCCGAGAGGAGGAGTGCCATCTCCGGGTCGTCGTGGTCGTGAGCCGTTTCAGTCCGAGGCAGGTCGATCCTGTCGACAGCGAACTTCTTTTGTGATGATTCTGAGGAGCCTTTTGAGGCACTACGAGTACTTGCTCTTGCTACTCCGGCCGCTGACTGCACTAGTCCGGTGAGCTTCGCCGACCCTCTCCCCATCCTGCCGCCCCGCCGGCTATGTACCGTCAGGAGCTGAACCATGCCTCGGGCGGCTTGCTTCCGAGAGTCGGCAAAAAATGGGTGCTGTCAGCATGCTGCCCAGCAGAGTAACACATGTAGCAAGGATAGTCTTAGAGTAGCCACGGCAGTAGCTTGTGGCAGAGCCAGACCAAGGAGCTGGTGTGTTTTTGCTGTCTCAAGGTGTCCTCCAGGAAGAGCGCCTGCGAGAACCAGTTGCTTGCACGTCCGAATCCTCAAGTTGCTACAGTACTTATATAGGCCTTCCCGGAGAGAGAGACAAGCTTTTGGAAGTGGTCGATGGCAGGCTTCCGCAGATGATGCAAATGAATGGCCTTGCACTGCTGCGTACATTTGCTGGCCGCATGCTCTAAGCTCCCGAACTTCCAGGCAAGCTGCCATGAGTTCCACCAGCTTTGCGTATACAGCCTGGGCCTGCATCAAGAACAGGGTAGCTTTACGAAGTCACGTCGCATGGGCATGCAAGTCACCTCTGGGCTGGAGGACTTCTCGCACTGTGCCAGAATCCGCTGCATTCGTCGCACATGCTCACCCACCTTGCAACAGGCACGCCCACGACAAATTGACGGGACATCAGGGAATTTTTTGGGACGATGTTTTTGGACCTACTGCGCGGTCGGTGGATGCCACTGTTGCCTTCTCGTCGAGTTGAGCCGACACCATGCCGCACAACTTCTGTGCCTGCCAATGCAAGCTGATTTCGTGCATGTTTGAGCAACACTTCCTGCTTCGCAAACAACAATCATCCGCTTCCTGGTTCGTCGCTCGAGTCAGCACGTCTCCAACTTGCTTAGTCATCTCGTCCAGGTACCGCTCCTGCAACCGTCGTTGCAGGAGCAAGCAACAGCCAACCTGCTCCGTCGGTCGTGCGACGCCGCTACACACACACACACACGCACACTGCCTTGCGGCGCTGCAGTCGATCGCCATCTTCGTCATAGTAGGCCAAAGCCACTGCCGAGTGGCGGAACATCATCAGCCTTCTGTCAGGAGTATGACCAAGACAGCGGAAGGTAGAGAGCGGCGCAACGTCTCACGCGCAGTTGCCATCTCCACCAAGTAACAGCATGATGCCTCCAACACCCTTGACCTCAGAAGCCAAGGCGTACGTGCCCAAAACCGTTGCGCCGGCACAATGAATTCCAAGCGTAGGCTTTGTCCAAGCGGCAAGGCAGGAATACTTTCCCACGCCCTCTTCGGTCCAGGGTGTGTGCCTGAATGAACCCACTAAGGTCACCGAGTTGTGCAAACAAAGTCAGCAGTTGTGGAGGAGCACTCGGAGGAGCGCTTGGTGAAACACAGCAGCTGATTCCAAGTGGCTGAAGGCAGCGCAACTGGACGAAGTCTAAGAGCCATGTGATTCCAAACCTCAGAGGGGACATGAAACCCAGAGTTTTGACTCGATTCGATCATTACGGTAAAGCGCTACCTCCAGTCCCTCTACAACGACTGAGCTTCGAGGCAGCCGAGACACACTCCTGAAATCAAGCAGCCAGTGAAAAGCATTAGCCGCAGACCCGTGATGTCCAAGAGGTGCTCCTCTCAGGAGTCGTGTCATTGGGTAGGTTGGTCTGACCGGCTCGGTGGACGGCAATGCAACCCTCAGCGGTCCATGTGTAGTGCTTCGAGCCATCTGAAGCCGGTGGGCCACACGGCTTCCAAAGGAAGGCGCATGGCGTTGTCAGGTGTTTGTCCAGTGTCAGTGCCGGATCAGTTAAGAAGTGTGCGCAGTTGACGAGGTACTCTATTGACACTGTTTTCAATGGCAGCTCGCATGCCAGTGTCGCAATGCGTGCCAGAAGCCGGACAAGGTCGAATGCTTTACAGAAATATATCATGTAGTCGCAAGTGATTTTGCCGAAGCATCTGAACCTTTGCACATACAACATGCTGAAGCTGAATACATCGTCGCAACGATGAGAGTCTTGGCTGCTTTTTGACTCGCGCTGAGATGTGTTGGCTAGTTTGTGGACGGAGCCAAAAGCGCTGATGCCGTCAAGTGCAGGAAACAGACTGCTTTCGTCAAGCGACTTTCTTCAAACAGGACATGGTGAGCTGTGTGCTGAAAAGCCACGTGCTGCCTCACTTGAGAGTAAGAAGATTCCAGAGCAAGGTACAGTGAGGAAGACAGCACTGGATCTGCAGCACCCTCAATCTGTGCAATGCGTACCAGCCGGCGGGTCCAGGACGGTGAAGACCTTGGACTTCAGGCTCATGACCAGAGTGTTCCCCCTCCAGCCATTCCGCATTGCGGATGGTAAACCAAACAGAACGGAGTTTCATTCCAACTCTCGCAAAGCCAGGACGATTGCTTGCTGCGTGCTTTTGTGAACTTCGGCAAAGCAACACCCGGTGAAGCCTAGCACCCGAGGTCCTCGAAGCCAACACTTCTATGTCTATGCCACGATTATGCCAGAAGCTTGGGAGATGGCAATCGCACTCTCCAAGCCCGGCAGCAAGACCTTCAGCCGATGTTCCAAGTGGTCCCAGGGGCTTTGCACGAGTTGGGAAACACGAGATCGCGACAAGCTACAGTATCATGCGCTCCTTCCATGCGTCACAGGCCTTGTCCGGCCGTCCGCCGCCGAAGTAGTCCAGGAGCAAGCTCTTGGCCTGCAGGCTTCTGTGCACTTCGCGTCGTGCCGCTTCCACAAAGCGTAACCGGGCCCTCTTAAGGTGCTCGTCGTTCTCAAAGCCAGCGCCCTGGAATACCACGAGCCTGAAGCCAAGCCGGGCAAGGACTGCAAGTGCAAAGGCTCGTAGCCAGAGCTGAGGCAGCAGCGGCTTCACACCCGTCATGGCCTATGGAAAAAAACTCAACTCCACACCGTGAGCACGCCTTGCTTGCAGCAAGATGCCGGACTGAACACTGAGTCGAGTCACGTCGGTGGCTCCGCTCCCGCGAAAAGTCCTCGGCTCCGGTCTCTTTGACACGATTCTGCGCAGCACCGAAATGGCACACATTGTCAGGCTTCCACACTCCAAATCACAAGGGCATCCAAGACCGGTGCGACATGGACTTGTAGTCCTCCACGCCAAACTCCTGCCCAAGCCGTTCTCGGGGGGGAAGATGCTGCCAGAGCAGCTGGACGCTGGAGAATCGCCTGCATGTCGAGCAGGTGGCCGTCGAAGAGCCTCCCAAGGATGAGCCGCGCAGGCCTCCAGTCCAGTCGCATGACGAGACTCCGAGAAACGCGGATGAGGGCGGCTTTCTGTCCGTGCCTCTTCTTGGAGGAGGATCCGAAGGCGAAGAGGGAGTGGTCAAACTTCTTGCACAGCTGTTCGAGCTTGTGGCTGTCCTGTCCGCGAGGTAGCTGGCAAGACAGTAGACCAGAAAGGTAGCTATGTTAAGCTTTAGCGAACGAGGCGCAGGAATTTCGACGGACGTCGTGAGCCTCTGATGACTTAAAGATCCATGCCAATCCATGCGCATCTTTGCCGGAATCCAATATGCATGGAGTCTGATTGCAAGGTGAAGCCTTCCCCGTAAGATGCTCCTCGAAAGGATGCTCTTCATGTTTCCGCATGTAGAGCCTGGATTCAAGTGGCAACGAGCATCGCAGGGAACATCACGAAATACCAGCAACACTTCGCAAAGTATGAGGGTTCTAGCTAGAGTGGGCAGAGAGTGCAAAAGGTCTCTGAAGGCATGCCTACTTGGCCTGAGCCAATGGTCGTCGATGCATGTTGGTCATGCCTGTTTATGCTCGCTGCACCGAACCTGACAGCAATTGCAGCTACACTTGCCACACGACAGGGTGTCAGGCATCGAGAGCGGTGACCGCAGAAGGTACAGCTCCCGGAGAAAGTTTGTCATATCATTTGAGGTCCTGTCGGCGCCCATCCAAATAGCAACCCCGCTGCGGTGACGCTCAAAAAACAAGCCGTCAGTGCGTTCCCCAATGGCTGCGCACAAAAAACTTCGAACATTTCCAGCTGCTGCCCTACATTTCCCGTCTGTCGCCAGGCCTAAATTTAGGGGTACCAGGACCATCTTCTGGTCTAGCTCCAAGATGCTTCACTTCTGTCTCTGTTTGCTCCCTTTCTTTCTGCAACGAAGCTGTCTTTGTGCCGCGGATGACCAAGGCTGTCTTGGCATCTTCCAAGACCTGCACAAGATTGCGAAGGCTCGAGATGGTGACTTCTTGGAGGAACGAACAAGTCAGGGCACTGCGAGGCTGCCTACTCGTATAGCCGACAGCCTCCCTCGCCGAAACCCACCCCGGCAGTGCCTTGGGCTCACGCTCCCTCAAGATCTTCTTGCCGCGGTCTGCGGGGAATTGCAAGGATGCCACGGAGGATGCAGCGTTAAGTTCGAAGTGTGAGCAATTGCAGACGCTGCGCACGCTATCCCGAAGACAAACACATTGCGAATGAGGAGGCGGCGCGTCTTCGCCTTCCGCTTTGAAAGAACTTGCGTCAGCCTTAGTCTCCCCAACATGGCTCCAAAGCCAAAGCTGCAAACGTGTGGCTTGGATACTACTCGTACCTCCTTCTACCTGCTGCCCCGCGACGCATCGGCTCCCATGAAGCTGGTGAAGTCGCGAGCAACGCCCGGCTGCAGGGTACCAGGTCTTCTGGCTTAAGCTCAAAGATAAACATCTAGTCAGTGGCGCATTACAGCAGTAGCTGCTCGGAGGCGACAACCACAAAGCTACTGAGGATGAGGATTGCAATGAGCATGACTACTTTGTCGTATCGCGAGTTGCTCTTCTGCTCTGCGTGTGGGAAGGCTTGCGACCTGTCCCGGCTCGCCATGCATGCCCCCAGCTTTGAGAAAACGAGCAGCAAGCACGTAACTTTCTTCGCACGAGGCATTGGAACACTTCCAAACCGAGTCAGGTCTAAAAGCTGCGAGGCACAGTTGACGAAAAGCTTTTTCTTTCGAGGTGCGCACAGCGCTTAGGAAGGCGACCTGAGAATGGGGCTCGGGATGGGGATGGGGGTCGATAGCAGCTGGATTCTTCCGGGTGCGCTCATTTGCTTGACGCGGCCAAGTATTTTTTGTAGTATACTGCGAAGACACAACCCATCGCCTCCGCCGCCTTCTCCTTGAGCGGCTGCGTCTCCGCGACCTCGACCTCCAGCTCGGAAGGATGGGCTCTTGGTCGAAATTCCCTTCTAAAGCTTTCGTCCTAGTGGCATGCAGATGTGGAGGTTTCCGAGAAGCAAAGCTTGCAAACCCGCAGGGCCTAAATGAAGGGTGCCACATCTGCGGTAACTTGTAGACTGTATAGGAACATTCTGGTAGTTTCATTCCTATGCAGCTTCCCCCCACCGTTCCCTTCCTGAGTAGTGCGCCTATCACGGCTTCGCCTGCCTCGGGACCTGACATGGCTTGGCGCTGAGCTGAGCTTCGAAACTCGTCTCGGAGCGCAAGCACTCTGCCAAGCACCTGCTTCGACTTTTCTTTCGACTTTGAGCCGCCTGAAGGAACGGCAAGACAAGTCTCAACAGCATGGACTCCCGTCACCTCTCTATTACAGCGAGCCGCGAGGGGCCCGTCGCTGAAGCCACGCGGCGCATCGCTAAAGCCTTGTGGAGGCGAGGTAGACCTGCCGGCGAAGTGCTGCGAGTCTTCATGTATCATCCTGTGCGTGTGAATGCCTACGCCCAAGGCCCCAAGCTTCATCTGCTAGACGATTTAGCTAGGTTCCAGATGCGCTGCACCTCTGCAAGGCGCTCATAGCGAGCATCGCCGCTGCACCCACCTGCCAAGAACATGGAACGATGTGTTCCGCTTAAAATGTCTTCACGGCAGGTGCAAGCTTGCTCAAAAACGATACGTTTCTGCCAAATATAACAGACATCATCGATGTAGCAACCTCGCACATGCACTGCAGAGGCCCTCAGGTTCACCCAACCTGTGGGAGCGGCTGCGGACCTGCAGTTCGCACGGCTTCAAAACAAAAGAACTCACGAATCATCGGAGTACATGAAGGAGTGTGCAGATTCACTTCATGCCTCATGCTCTGAGGATGGAGCTGACTTGCGGCGGCTGAACTTGGCCCATTTGACTTTGCTGCCTGAATTCACATGATGGCATACCGTCATATTCTAAAAATTGAACTTTTCAAGCAGATATTGAAGCCCCTCACCGTGCATAACTGCATGCTGGCACTATGCGGAAGAGCTTAAACACAACGCGTGTCTGGGGCGACAAGCGAAGGACTCCGAAAACATCGTGGTGCTCATTGCATGGCTTCGAAGATTCGAGACTTTCCGTGTCTCCAGCTCGGGGTTTCGAACAGCCCTGCTCGACTTTTTCGTTGCGGCACCATTGACGACCGACCCGTTTCGGGATTGATGCTGCCTTCCGACACGCACACACAATGTGGCAAGAATACTAGACTAATCTTGCGAAGCGAACCTGGTATCCTTTCTTGGTCTCATTATGTCGCATTTATGTGGATCTCATTTGGATCCTCGACATCCGCTAGAGTTTCGGGCTCGGAGCCACGATGTGCATCCTCTCCCCCGATCTAAAGAGTTTCGCTTCTCGGAGGAACTACATGTTTACGCTTCGGAGCAAGCCGGAATTTTGGCAGCGAGTATGCGCCCCTGGTGCCACAGTAGCTGCCGCATAAGGCCACCAAGGCATCCACGCGAGTCGGTGCCAAAGGCGCCCTGCCCCTGCTCCCTTCCCACGTGTGAAGTGTGTGAAGTGTGGCCTGGACTGCAACTCGGTTCAAGTAGCGCAAAAGTAGAACTCAAGCAGTGCAAAGGCGCGGCTGAGTCTCGTCTACTGAACTGCAATGTCCATTGCAATAGATGTAAGGTTCCAGCGGCGGCTGCGGGGGAAATGTGAAGCCCAGACCTGACCTGCAATAAGCAAAGAGCTTTGCTGTCTACTAGCAGTAGACAGGAGGTCCTGGCATGGTATCCTGGAGCATCTCATGCAGAATATCAGGACAACGGTAATCGTGTGTATGACTAGTCAGCACTGGACGGTATGGCAAGCCTTGCAAGCATTCCCTGCAGCACAAGGTCTCAGGGATCCACCTCGTTGGCGGCACAGGAGCCTTAGCTTTTGCGGGCCGACCAAAAGCGCTGGTGACCTGGCACAGGGCTTCGGGCATGGAAGACGCCTTTACTGCCTTCAGTGCTGACAATACCACACTCCGGTCTTCTGAGGTCCCAGAGCGGATGTTGTGCTTGGCACTATCTCAAGCCCGCGGCGAGGCGACACCGACCATGAAAGTCAGAAGTTACACAATTTGGTGAGGTTAGCTGTGCCATGCTTCGCGTGAGTCGTGCTGCTTCCAGCGAAACATCGATCCTGATTGTGATAGCGTTGTGATGCACGGGATCCGAGCAGCACACGCCGGGAGCGAAGAGGTCTTCATCAGAAGATTCCTCATCCTTCTTGGGCCCCTGCAAGGCTGCAATGCACAACAGGACACGCATGCGCAGCGATGATTCCGCTCGTCTCCCCTTGCGACGCCTCACTTGCTGCATCTTTTGGAGCTTCGGCCACTGCGGCGGCCACGAAACCACTCTTCACCATCATCCTGTTGGGACCTGTTCGAGATCTTTGCAGTCACAGCCATGCCATGACCTTTCGGGTTTCTGCATGATGCATCCCGCCTGCCCTCATTCCACCGGAAATCTTTTGCCGGTTGAGCGCCTGGGATCACTGACTCTGCTGCAACTTCAGGGAGTTTGGGCTTCCTGGGTCCTGGGAGCCTAACGGCCAACTGGTCCGCCTCCTTGTCCAGGCGCTTGGCAAGCTCCTGGACAGCAGGGCGGACGATTGAAGTAGGGAAGGCAATGCTGTGGATGTTGCTTCCTTCTACAAATCCGGCCCCCCGAGCGGCTCGTGACCTTCAAGCAAACCTTGGCTCGTGATCCTCCTGCTGATCTGCATGAGTCATTTCAACCAAAAGGAGCTCGGACCCCAAGACTTACCCAGAAAATCTGGACCTGCCCACACTCAGGAGCCAAGCCATGAGGCCCGGCTCCGCTCCTGAACCGTCTCCTTTTGCCGCGAGGCGCCGTCAAAGCCGACCCCGAAGGCGCTCTTCTCCACCTGTTTCACCAGCGAGAAGTTTTTTGACTCCGGGACATCCCCCAAAAGAGACTAAATAGTGGAGGCTCCAGCCTTGCCAGCCCCCTTCTTCTTGCCAAGGAAGGTGCGCCCTTCAAGCTTGGCGGCCTCAGAAGCTCAAAGACTCAAAGAGTTCAGGGAAAGGCCCTTCTGCTTTGAACATGTCCCAGGGTCGCAGCCCGGAAGGGCCCGTACTTCATGGCCAGCCCCTGTAAAGCCAACAACTTCGGAGTCCTTTGCTGCCAGCATCCGTGGGCCTTCAGGTCCTCCGGAACGGCCTGGTTCGCCTGCTCCAGGTTCTCCACCTCTCCCAAAAAGCATTGCCGTGCTCCTTACACCCGCCGCTAGCATGGCTGAGGCCGGTGCTAGGAGAGCGGCCATCTTCTTGTTCTGATCATCGCTGATCAGAAGTGTGTACGCCTGGATCATCCGAATCACTGCAGGGACTTGCGCTGCGACATGGCAGTAGAAGACGCTGTCTGTTTGCGCTTCGGTTGCATCAATACTACCACAACGTCGTCGTCCAACTACACAGGTGCTCGTTTCACCGTCTGTCTTGCCTCCCCTGCCGCGCCAGCGCGCCCGGTGCGGCCGATTCGATGGGTGTGCCTGGGATAGTCGGAGGCCTAGAGGTGTCGAGACGGACACACCAAAAACCTACAGAGGACAGGGTTTCCTGACGTCCTCTTCTTGTCATTAGACAAGTGCCAACTTCTCTTGTTTCTGCACCAGAGATGTGCCACGCTTAAGCACTAGGCGTTTCAATGTCCCTGGCGGCGTCGTAGGACACCACGGTGGCAATCGCTGGAAGATCTAGACCTTATCTATCGTACAGGGTTTCGGGGCAAAGCGCGAAGCCACGTGTGCTGCTTGCAAGACTGTCTGTAGTCTGTAGACTCTGCCTTATGGGCAAGTGTGACGATCGTGACAGAAACTGGCTCCCTCTTGTAGCAACAGGCCTGAGCAAGGTGCCTCGTGCGGCAACGTCTGTGGCAATCAGCACATCCACCACTCCTTGGAGGACAGTCCCAGGCTCCGAGAACAACATCGTCTCTCAGCCCTAATCTACGGGCCTCAGTAATTAGAGAATGGAGGCTTGGGGTATATTCTGGCATGATTGCAACGACAACAAGGACTTGTAAGGAAAGCATTGAGCAGCTTTGGATTCTTTCAGGCAAAGCGGCGCTTCCTCACGTTGCGCAAGATCCGCATCCGCTCGCCTGGCCGAGGGATACACACGGAAGTTCATTATCGCAATGCATGCGAGTATTACTTATCACAATTACTTGCTGTTATTTTGATTCTTGTGATTCCATGATGATGATTGCACAGGCAAGGGGAAAGGGCTTCTGCAAGAGATTCCCTGCAGGAACTTCAGCCTTGATCAAGGTCACCATGCAAGAATTCTGTTTTCTTCTCCAAGAAGTCCTGGAAGTTTTGGGAGAGCCTCAGCAAAGGCGATTTTAACTCCGTCGTAGCTTCTGTGCTGTACTGACAATCATCCAAGCTAGCATCTTCAAGGCATCTCAAGTTGCTGGCTCCTCCGCACTTGCGATGGACTTCACGAAGACCAGCAACTGCACACCATATGTTCAGCACAATGTGACACCCCAGTAGCAATCAAGGCGAGGAAACATCTTAAGCGTACAGAAGCAGCGCGAGCCAGCGAGCAAAAACGCACTCGTGCTTTGCTGTGCTGCCTGGCCCTTCTGCAGCATACCATCGACCCGCTTCGAGAGCCATGCCTCAGAGACGAAAACGGCAGAGTCTGCGCTGAAGGCACTCCTCCCAACAGAGACAACTTCGTCGAATCTGTCGAAAACCCCCAAGCGCCGGGGCCCACTTCTCGTCGTCGTTCTTTAGAACTTCGACGAACTGCTGCACATTGGCAGCTGCCTGTCGTGAGATCCGGTCACATGCGCTGGGGCCGGACAAGCGCGATGCATCGCATGAGGGGCATGTAAGCAGTAAGCAACAGCTTTGAGCAGGAAACCGATTCGTGCGACTGCATACTGCTTGCTGCCTGGCCAACCTCGCCGATCGTAATACGGACGGGCTGTTGCAGGATGTCGCCTGCACGTCGTCAGCCACATCAGAATGCAGAACCGAGCACCAAGAAATCCCCATGACTCTGCCAGGTGCGAACATCTGCAAAACATGATGCGCAGCCACTTCCAGGCATTATGTTCTCATGAGATCTTCGAAAAGCCGCGAGAGAACACAGCTGCAGTCACCCCATGCCGGGTTGACGGGCCAGCTTCTCGATCTTTGGCCTTGGCAGTTTTAAGCTCGGCAATTCGACGCCGACCCTCTGGGATCTCGTCTTCTAACCGGAGTAGCTCAGCAAAAACTCAGGTTGCTCCTGCTTCGTTCAGAATCTACGACGCCTAGTATTGTGCTGGATTGGAACCTGTGGACGTGCAGCAGGGAGCGCAAGCCAGGAGAACTTTCTGGATTGTATAAAGCAATGATGCTTGGAATGTACAGGGTGAAACTCATTGTGAAACTTGCTGTACATGTGGGAAAAACGCTGGTGGCTTCTGTGCTGCGCAGCTGTACTCACAGCCTCAGAAAGGAAGGACCCTGGAGATCTCAGCAGGAAGGGCCCGGATGGGTAGCAACGTGCTGCACACTCCGTTCTCGGACGTCAGTCGAGAGCCAAGACTCTGTCTGGTGTTTTCAGAAGATTTGATGCAAATGGCTGGAGAAGCGTTTGATAGGAGTTTAAGGACCCAAGAACCGAGCGGGCACTTCCTGCTGAGCCGGTCCAGCCAAATCATTTTACGGGCTGACAGAACTTGGCCGGATCCACGTAATTGGCCACTGCAGTGGCCAAGAGGTGCTCCTCGGCTGTCTCAGACTCCCAGTGTGACACACCCAACCGAGTCTGGCTTGAGATTGTTGGCAACCCCGAATCCAACACATCTTCGGAAATACACTCCCTAAGCCCGAAGCCATATTCGCCAACAAGTCTCCGGCAGCTCATCTGGCTCCTTTCAGACATGTTCGTAGGGATTGCTTTGAGGAGGCAATGTTGGTTGATCTGGCATACCGGGAAGGCCCACGAAGGCGGGTGAGCCAGCGACAAGAGATGCCTTGATGCTTGAGTTTTGGGTCAGCGACGCAGTCCTCGTTTCTCTTCTTATAACTGATGCACACGCGGCTATTACTATCGCTTTGGCTGATGGTGTCCAAAGATCCTTTATCTCGTTCCAGACTTTGGCTTCCTTGTCAACTCCTTTCAGGGTTCAGAATTCAGGTTTGCCACCGTTCTCCTTTGCTGGAGGTTTTGCCACTCGCTTACAGCTTTAGCTGGCCGCTTCCAAAAACCAGAAACTGAACCGACCAACCTGCAGGTGTAAAGTGCACGGCATGTGTACAAATGTTACATCTCCTGCTGCTGTGCTGTGGAACCTAGTTTACGAGTCAGAAACTGTGTCATTCCCACATCTCTGCATCGCTGGTTGTGGTGAACATGGGTGACAAAAAGTCACACACTGCAACAGAGTGCTCTGAGAGTTGCGGGAAGCCTTCGCCTCCAGCAGCAGCGCGCAGCTCAGAACAGCTCCGCGCATGGACTTCAAAACCACACCTCGCAGGACGGATTTTGTTTATGCCCCTGAGCTCAGCGTTCAACACAATGATAACACAAAAATACGAGTTCAAGAGGCTATAACATGTTGTTTAATCAGTGTTGTTTTGTGGAACAGCACGAGTGAGGAGGCCTAAGGTTCAAAGGGTCGGGGCTTTATCCTGTGCTACCAGTAAGAGCGTTCATGGTGCCTTAACATGCGGTTTTGCCAGCGACAGACACTTAACTAAACCTTTGCAGTGCGTCTTGCAGCTCCTGTCGGCTAGGTTCGACTGTTCCTGCAGCTGTAGCAGCAAGTGCTGCTGTGAAGATTGTGAGGGTAGTGGCAGTCGTGGCGTGAAGGCGGGAATGGTGCTAACGCCGCTACTGGCCTAGACTGAATGCATGATATGCTTAACGAGCATGGAGGTGGCTCAGTGGCTCTTGCGTGGACGCCCGAAGGGAAGACAGAAATCGGGGGGCCGAGCTGGCATTCCAACACTTGGCGCCAGATCGTGCTCAAACTTTGGCTCTTTAGACTCAAGCTGCTGCCATAGTAGCTCCACTTGACAGCCACACCTAGGCAACGGAGCAACCTTAGCCTAAGCCACTGCAGGCGAGCAGCCAACTGTCGCACCAGTCGCTCGTTCAAACGCGATCTCCAGATAATCGTTGGGCTCGTGGTGAAACTTGCATTGCAGCAATTTACAAATCCTTGGTGCAATGCAAGCACGAGCTTTCAAGGTGAGACGAGAGGCCGAGACCGACCGGGTGTCATCGGCATCACTGCAACTGCATCTGGCTGATGCTCCCCACGTCTTTTGCAGAGCTGCTGCCAAGATGCAACATTGGCTTCTTGATGAAGGCCTTCTTTACAAGCCAGGGGCCTTCCTCCACTGCCAGAATCAGCTTGACCCGCTGTCGTCCTCGAATCTCTCACTTTTCAAACAAACTCGGCCCTAAACTCCCAACTCAGGCGACCCGTGAATCCATCCCAAACTCGTAAACTAGACTCGCCGCCGAGGTGTTCTGAGGTGTGCGTGGCTTTTCAGGAACCTTGTGGGGAGGTGGGACTATACTTCCTCAAGCAGGACTCATTACACCCTTATCAAGTTCTGATCAGGGGTCCAAAGGCCCCCCACCCAGCTGAGGGTTCTTCTGACTTCTGAACCACAGAGCCTGTGGCATCAATGTGGGCCAAGGTGCTGGCGTCATCGTCCCCTTGCAGGAAACTCCTCCAGACGCGCGACCTCAACGCAAAGAGAGACGGGCAGCTTGCCAAATCGGCAAAGCGCACATAGCATACTATTGTATATGAGTCTATTGCTGCATAGTCTTGGGGTTTGAAAGGTTGAGATCGGCTGCCCAGCTGCTGTGGCGAGCTGTCATCGCTCACCCACGCAGCGTCCGGGTTCAACGCCATCGTCATGATGGCCTTACTGTAGTCACTTCTGGGGCTTCGACTCATGGCTGCATGTTTTTCCAGGGAACTACTGCATGTACTCATGTAAATTGTCAGAGTAATTCGGAGTATCCGAATGGGACAGCTTCGGCCTGGTAGTCTCCAAGCACGAAGTTCGTGACCAGGAGAAAGCGCTTGTCGCCTGAGAAGATTTCTCGTGACACTTCAGCTTTGGGCGTATTTCGTCCCCATCTGGGGCCACGTTGGCGTCGACTGGCTTGCGATGAGCGCCCCACCATCTTTTCTGGCACAGGCCGGATAGAAGTCCGGATGCGTCGAGACGCGAGTGACAGGACCATCCTCACCTCAGCCACGTCGTTCACACATCCACAAGTAGAGAAGGACTCTTGTCGAGTTCTTTTGCCCACAATTCTTTCCGGCCAGACCAGCTGCCAAAAGCCCACACAAACATGCCCTGTGCGGGACATTTGCAAGCTTAGAGCATCACCGATGGCAACCCAATCCTCGGTGGTGCGAGCAGATGCAGCTGAACCGCCCGGTAATCCCGGGCAAGGTTTCGGACCCCTTCTGCAGAAACGCGAACCTTGGCCTAAACCTTAAGCCTTGCTCTGCCACATGACGTTGAAAAAGCCTCAAGGGCTCCCAAAGGCTGTCCTGGCTGCTGTGCCTGTCCCCTTGACTTGTTGCAAACACCAGATGCGATCAGCTCAAAATTGCTTGCGAGTGAGGGATTGCCTCCGACCTCCCCCACCCTCTTCGTGTCCAAGCCGCGCAGTTTACCAGTTCCAACATGGTCTCTGCACAGGGAAGTTTTCGCCGATCACGGAAGTAGGTTTCCTTACGGAGGTCTGTCCAAGCTTTCAACCAAAGCAGCGTGTGACTGACAACTGTGCCAAGGGTCCGATCGAATTCGCCAGTGTCTGCAGTCACCTGGCATGGAGCTGGGTGGCAGCTGCTGGACAGTCATCCCGGCAGCTTTGATAATGCTAGGGCTAGGGCTCCACAAGGATTCTGAAGCATAACTGGAACATACTGGAACTGTCGAGATGCCTCGATTCCAGGAATTCGGAAGGTGACCGCGAGGACAAAGCTCGCCTCAGAGATCAGAACTTTCCAGCCTGAAGCATGTGTATCACGATCTTGAACTTAATGACGATTTGATGTTTCTATGCTACGAGCCTCAGTCCATCCCCTCGTCGTGCGTTCTCCAATGCTCCTATAATCCTCCTGTGATCCTTTCGGCAGGGGTCCGATGCGAAATCAACATTCGTTCCCTTCCGTGGCAGCCTTTGTGCGTTTTTGTGAAGCCGATGATTCCCGTCTTCCCCAAACTCCGACAAGGATCTGCGCTGGCGAAAGCTGCGACGAGGTGCTTTGACCTCAGCTACCGTTTGGCAAAGCATCTCTGCCAGCACTAGGAACTGCCACATCAAGCTCAAGACTTACCAAATAAATAGGTTGAGCGGCCCGGCTCCGCGCCGCCTTTGGGCGTCTTCGCGCCGTCTCGTCGTCCGAGTTGTCGCTTAAAGAGAAGAAGGCTTCCTGACGCACGGAGTCTGAGCAGGATGCAGCCCCCTGGCTTCCGGGATTGTGTGATTGGATGCTTCATTACCTTGCATGACTCGTTTGTTGGGGAACGTGAACTGTAGTCAACTTGAAAATTCTCAGGCGAGGGTCGTCGTTTTCACCTGCCACCTCATCTTCGGCTCCATGCGGCGGCAGCCTCAACTATGGCGGTCCATCATGTGCTACTCAGCTGCATGACGACTGCAGCAGTATCATTCAATCAGACTAGTTTGATTCCTCCCCGGCTGAACGTATCCTCGTGGGCTGATACTAGCTGTAATGAATGTCTACTGCGGCTGGGTGGCTCAAGCGGAGTCACTCCCCGCCTCAGTTGCACGGAGCACCCAATTACAGAGGGAAAGGGCTAATGGGTTTCTGCGTGGCCTTACAAACTGCACAGAATGCCATGAACACTTGACGGAAGAAGACGATGCTTGGAACTTACTGGCCTCGCTGTCGCGGACTGCAGTGCAGGGGACGAAGCGCGGCTTGAAACCTCTGCATGCCGCTGCATCTTAAAATATGCACAGCAGCACCAAGTACGGTTGACGACAAAACATCTTGCAAGTTCATCGATGAATTTACGTTCAAGTATCTTTTAAGCAATATTTTGTTGACTGTTATTGTTGAGTCACTGCGAAGAAGCATCGAGCCGTGTACCAGCATAAAAGTCAAGTTAATTAAGAGTGGCGAGTTGTAGCAGCAGTAGCAGGAGCAGGATCGGAGTAGGACTTGGAGTAGGAGTCGGAGTAGTAGTAGTAGTAGTAGTAGTAGTAGTAGTAGTAGTAGTAGTAGTAGTAGTAGAAGAAAAACACGAAAAATAACAGCAGTAGTAGTAGTAGTAGTAGCAACAGTAGTCGTCGTCGTCGTCGTCCTAGTCGTGTAGTCGTAGGGTGTGGTGGTGGTGGTGGTTGTGGTGGTAGTAGTAGCAGTAGTAGTGGTCGGAGAAGCAAGTAGCGGTAGTGGTTGTGGTTGTAGTAATTGTTGGTGGTGGCGATGTTAGTGTTGGCCGTGTTGCTGTCTGTTGCGGTGGTAGTCGTGGTTGTCGCAACAGTACCGGTACATAGTCGTCAGTGCTTGACATGTAGTAGTATGTACTGTAGGACCTAGATGATAAGTAGTAGGAGGGGTAACAGCATCAGCAGCAGCATCAGCAGCAGCAGCAGCTGCAGAAGCTGCTGCAGTGGTAGGTCAAACGTGGTACTGCCTAACATCCAGGCAGCCGTCTCATCGTCGGAAGTGCTGTGGGCGATGGCGGCGGCGGAGGGAAACGTGGGAGCTGGGCGAATCCTGGGCACTTCAATTTCGCTTCCTCCTGAAAACGTCATAGCCCGTCATAGCCTCCTGCCAGTCCCCGGACATGCAAGAGGAAAAGGCTGAGGAGCGGACTGCAAGTGTGCCCAGAACTTGGGATCCTCCAGCGACTGCTTCACGTCTGCTCGTTCTATCACCTGCAGGAAGCTAAGGAAAGGTTAATCCTAGACGTGCTGTTGGCCAACTTCAATTTAAATTCTACCGTGACTTCAAGAAACCAGAGCTAATCTTCAGTTCTGGCTTTCATGCTTCCAGCTCAAAGCTACGGTTATCCCGTGTTCTGTACCAGGTGCTCAAAAATGTAGGTGGCCTTGCAAACGGCGCCGACGATCAATTGCAAACGGCGCCTTCCAGGGTGCTGCTAGTACAGCTGGAACAAACAAAGTGTTCCGCCAGCATGACATGAATAGCTCCACCGTCTTCTAGAGGCTCCTGTAGGGATAGCAAATTAGGCCAACGTAGACAGTGAACAACCAAGCGATCCAAATATCCTCAAAAAGTACCCCCCGAACCCCTCGAGGCACTTCGCAAGGGAGCAAGAGCATGTGCACGGCGCTGTGATTGGCACGATTCGGAAGGCGGAAACTCCGAGGAGGCAAATTGTCAAATTATGTTGGAGTGCTTCGAAGGCCAACATGAGCACGGGAATGTGGTGCGAGCACATTCTCCAAAACCACCCGAGGATAATTACGCACGACTGTGGCAGGAGGGCGGTTCATCAAGTTCGGGACCGCCAATTATTGGATTTTGTAATGAAATCGCCAGTCACGGACGCAGCGTGGACTGTGCAAACAACGCGATTTTCTCGAACATGTGCACCGCACCAGAGCGGGAGCCGCCGAAGAGGGACCGCCGGGTGCGCCTCGTGGGCAGCAACCAGATCCTCTTTCAGTGTACACTGTTTGGGAATCTCACTTGTCCGCACAACCTGAAAGAGAGACTGGAAGCGTATCGTTCAAACAGTGGAGAAGTCTTTTCAGCCACGCACACCTCCGGTGCACACGCTGGTCGTTGAAAGTCGCCTGCCTCAGCATACTGCTTGCTCTGCTTGCTCTGGATGAGCTAGAGATTGCATCCACCGTCTACAGTGGTCTGCCACACGAGGAAGAAACACAAATAACTAAGGCATCTCGGTGCAATCCAGCAGCAGCTTGGCGGAAGCCTGCGACACCTGCAAGCTTGACTTCGCAACTGTGCGCTGATTTCTTCTTGATGCCCTCTGTCTCGCCTTGAGTAGCTGAGCATGCGCCACGGGGCTGAGCCGATCCAGCGTGGAGATGGTCTCCTGCAGGACCGGAGGAGGCACAAGGAGCCGAGCTGACTTCATCAACCCTCACATCCAATGCGAGGGCTACAGCAGGTGCGGCCGGCGTGCCAGCATGATCGGGAACACCACCCGCGCCCGGTCTGCGCCCGCACCATCCTTGCACTCTTCACTTTCCAGTTCATCTTTCAGCTTTGCCTACACATGTTCCAAGTTGCTGGGATGGGGAGATTTCGTGGACCAGGAAATGGCGGCGCGAGCTCTAGTGTCGACATCAGTTGCTATGACCGAAGGAGCGACAGCAAGAGCAAGAAGAGCAAGAAGAGCAAGAGTCAGCCAAGCGGCGACGGTGCTCTGATCGAAGTCCTTGCCGAGAGAGCTAGCGGCCGCCCTGACAAGTGACATCTTGACGCAACATGACCGACAAGACACCACTTGGGCCCGAGCTCGATGGTTTCCACCACAAGTCGCCGGTGCAGTAGAAAGAAGAGCGGTGCCAAATGTTCCTTGTGGCATTGGCTTGGCCGAGTTCCGGAGACTGGAAGGCGCATCTTGGGATGTGAAGTGACCACTGACCCGCAACATTGCTGTCAAGGATTCTTGGACTTCCGCCACATCCGCCTCAACCATCCATGGCTCCGGCTGGGCACGCAGCAGATACCTAAGCTTGAACTGGTCTTAACAGCTATAGGAGCATCAAAAGGAGAATCTTAACACTGCCAGAGCGCAGTCTTTGGATCCACGGAGCAAAGGCTCGCGTCACCTCGTCCAGCACCGCCATGCGTGCCTCGCACGGGGGTGATCAGCAAGGATTTTCCTCTTTGTGTTTCGGAGCGGCCTCGACGGAGGCTGTCTCGTAGGCCTTCAGCTGCCACTGGCTCCACCTCACCTCACGAAAGGGCGCCATGCTTGGAGATTGTTGATGGACTAGTGCTGCACACCCCGAAACCCTCCTCGCTTCTTCGAGCAAGGATCCATGAACTTCAAGCGCCGCAACGTTGGTAGCTGCGTATCGCCTGGGCGAGGAGGGCAGACACTGTCGATCGCGCCGCATAAGCATTCCGACCATGGCGACTGCTTCCCGTGGGGCCTTCAGGGTGGTGCCCAGTCTCGTGCTGGAGCTCCTTCGACCGGAGATCAACAGCCATGATACACAGACACACCAAAGAGATGACATGGAAGACCAAACTGCTTGCCTGAGTGCCCCAATATCTTGCCCACCTCAGCTTTCGCCAAGGGCGCAGTCCCATCTCAAGCCACATCTTTGCTACAGTGCTACAGTATTGCGCAAGCTGACATGTTGCACGTTTGGAGGCCATGCCGGCACGTAAAGATTCCACAGCATCAACACAACGCGCTCATGGTGCCATGGTGGAGACATCCGAGGCACTGGTAGCCGCCGGCGCCGCCCACGAGAGCCGCCAACGCAAGCCCCGGGACGACAAGCCTCGGAGCCACAGCCGCCGCAGGGCTACAGGCGGCTACAGAGAAGCCGAAGCTGCGACAGCCAAGTCACGGTGATGCGGCGACACCCAATGCACCCCCCATTGCAGCACCAACCTGGAGAACAGTGACAGAAGACTCGGGTCAGGTTCTGAATTTTGGCAGCATAGATGCTCCTTCCTTCGAGCTGCTTGCCACGTTTGCTGCAAAAGGCTGAGAATGATGGTTTTTGTTGAAGTACTTGCTGAAGGCTGAGGCATCAGCAGCACCCAGCTTCCAGCTCCTCCACGAGCTTCGCTCCTGAAAGCGGCAGATCTCTCCCAAGCCATTCCGCGCCCAGAGAACTTCTCTATTCTATTTCTAATCTATTCTATTCTAACCTAATGTAGTCTATTATGTTTCGTCGAAGTTTGAGAAGGCATGCCTTGATATACTCGGAGAAATCAGTCTCGAACTTCTCTTCGATCGTGACCTGCTCCGTGGGAAATTTGCCTCAGCGCGATGCAATCAAACACCGTCCAAATGGACTGGATCATGATTCCTCCGCTGCAACCACATTTCCAGCAGTCAGGACGAGAGGCTTGAGCTGGACTTCGATGCAGTTCGAGACCCTGGAAAAATCGTGAAAACTTGCCAGTGCCAAGGTTACCCCCTGTTTGCTGTGTCCCACAATCTAGCATCAACAGAGCTCATCCCTCCTTGCGCAGTGACGGAACTGGGAGTGCTCGGGCATGTTCCAACCCTCGGCGGATGAGGCATCGGCCAACAACCCAAATAGCCACTTCGCTCCTCGTCTCAGCCAGGGAGCTCCGATCCCTGCCTGGCCATCGTCAGCCGGCAGCGAATCACATTCAGCTATCAAGCTTGTCCAGTGACTGTGCTGGGCAGCTAGCCCTAGCCGGCCATAGCCCTCACGTCCAAACAGCTGGGTTTGGTGCTTAGCTTGGGTCGGGGCGGCCCGGGTCCGTGGAAAGGCCAGCGAACATTCGCTTTTGCTAGAAAAGCTGGCATCTGCTGAACATCTGGAAATGAAGCCAGAAATCCTATGTCGGGACTGGCCCGCTTGAACGGTATCTTGTGCAGGGTCGAGGGCTGAATGCCCTGAGTTCTAAGAAACATCATTTTCGTGCCGACCTCATTTCTGTAAGCCGAGAAGCTGCAGCCATCGAAATGCATTAACAGAACAGAAGAGGACGCTGTGGGAACCTATGGTTTTGGAGTTTTCGGTGAACTGCCCGGGCACTCGTCCTTTACAGACGCAACGTCCGAAGAGGGGATCCATTGATCACTAACTAGTAAGTCCATGCTTCACCTTCGCCCCAAATGTCCCCTTGCCCCATTGGCTCGCAGCTCCCGTTCGAGGCAGGCACGGGAAAGTTGCTGAGAACAGAAGCGTCTGTCTGCTTGGTCGGGTGTTCTGCACCTTGTACCAGAGTCCCCCACGCAAACACCGATCGAATCCGAACATGAGCATCAACTTGTGGCTGAGTCACTGACTATGGAGCGGACCTGCCGAAAGTTTCTGACATGACTCTAATCGTCTTTTTCTAACTCCTCACTACATTCAGACTCCTGTCAAGTGAACCTCTAAATCTGAGTTACCGTGAGACCTGGTACTCGAAGCCCATGTGGAACATGCGGTCAGCTTCATCTAAAACCTCAGCTCCACAGCTTCAGTGTTTCTCCGCTCGGGGCTGTTGGCTTTCACTTGGAGTTCCGCCCAGAAGCCTCCAGCTGAGGCTCAGGCGATGTATGTACAGCGCTGCAAGTTGCAGCCTTTCATCCTTGGAACACAGTGCAATACACTGCACATAGATGGATTCAGTGGATTCAAGATGATTCAAGCTCTCTATCGTAATCCAAGACATCGTGTCTTCGCGGGCCTGAGGCCCTGAGGCCCCTGGGGCTTCGGCTTCACCACGTCGATCAAACGCCCGGGGTTGCAAATCGCAATCTCGGCTCCTCCTCGGAAGAAGGCGACGGGTTCTAACCCCCAAAGCGTGAGAGCCCTATGTGTATAAACATAGTATAGTATAGTAGTAGTATAGTAGTAGTATATATATATATATATATATGTGTATAAACATAAGGGTGTAGAGACGGAAGAGGACTGTTGGATCGGGCAACAGAGGCTGTGGCAAAATCTCCAAGAAGCTGAGATTCCTGCTTTTCACCTCCTTGAACTGCTCCAGTTTGCTGAGGCCACCAGCCAGCGTCACACTTCGCATGCCTCAACCGGACAGGGTGCATTTGAACGAGCATGCCGGCTGCCGCAAGGCAATGTTCAAGGCACATGCCCCGAGCCCTCCACCCAACTGCTTGTTGAACTTGAAGGTCTCGGTCTCTATCTGCACCTTGACAGACATGTTGGAATTCCTACCGGACAAAACAAGAATCTATGCACAAACGAAAAAGGATCTTGGCATGAGGCTGCGAGCTCTCTCGTCGGACATAGAACGATGCCTTTTCGGGCATTGAGATCTGGAGACTGAGAGAGAACGGGGTCAGCAGATAGCGTTAAGCTTTGTGATTATTTAACTGTTCCCCCCCAGCAGCTCGACACAAGAAGCGATCACAGCTGGGCCGTGGCCTATGGGGCCATCATCCTTCTGCAGCTCTGGCCTGGGCTGCTAAAATATCCTAAGGCTTGCTACCTTTTACAAGACAAGCATCTTGCATTAAAATACCCTATAGTACCCGAAACCCTACCATAGATCCGTGATAAGCAACCCTCTTTCCTCTGAAACATCCAGAAACAGCCTTTGGAGCTAGAAGCGTACAATCCCGGACTGCGCCTGATTCGATGAAGAACATCTCAGGGGTATTGAGAGGCTAAGTATATACAGCTATTACATATAGGTATATATATATATATAAATCAGTTACTACGATCGCAGACGTTCGGTGCCCTCACTGAACAGACTATCGGCGATCGCACCTTTTTCATGCGACCGCAACGTGGGAGTCGGCCACAGTCGGATCATCAAAATTTCACTTGATCTTCACAAGTCCGATCGGACCCCCGATCGCCGAGGGGTGCGCCATGGCATTCGCCACAGACCGCAACATCATCCGATCGGACACATCAGACAAGCGATATTCCCCGCGAACAAAATTAAAAGTCTTCGATCGGATCATCGGGCTCCGGCGACGGCTCCTCGATCGGATCGTCGTCCAGGGGGGCCGCGCCGAGCAAGTCGATCAACTGCCGCTCGGCAGCACGAAAAGCTGCATCAGGAGTAGCTTTGGCTTTCGTCCGAGCGGGAGTAGCGCGAGAAGCCTGGTACGCCGCGATCTGGGCGGGAGTCTGCGGCGCTTTGGTCGGCGGACTCGAGCTCCTCGTAGGCACCATGATCTCGGTGCCGGGAGGGAGCTGCGTACCGGGCGGGAGCTGATCCAGCCGCCGCGGGGGCTGCCCCGGAATGACATACTTGAAGGATCATGGGGGTTACTATATAGATAGTGGACTTATACAAGTTAGTGCCAAACTTAGAGCGGTTAGCCAAGTCCAATTAATGGACTTAGTAAGTGAGAGATAAGGGACTTAGGTAAGTCCAGATGGAGCAGTTAGGTAAGCTGACTAAGTCAGTTAGCCCAGTTAAGACGATGAATATAGCAATGGTATTTTGTATCTATATATACATACATATACACACATATACCGAAGAAGCTCACCGTGAAAGCATCGCACAGCATGCAATTGAGGCCCTCGGGCTAAAGCAAAGATGCACCAGCACATGAAAAGATTGAAAGCTAAAAACCTGCATCAACACCGAAAGCCGACACCAGCCTCAAGCTGAAAAAATTCTTGAAAGAAAAATCTAAAGCCGATACCATCTTACAACACATCACCGGCTCCATCATATTATGCGGGGAAGCCCTTCGAAGTTGCCCATGTTCGCAAACCATTACATAAACATCGAAATCAAGCTACATACCAGTTATGAATAATAGACACCGAAACCGACATCATATGAGCATAAACACAAGTAAACCTAAGCCAATATTATTATATCAGCCCCCCAAACCCTGCATTCCCAAGCATCTGGTGGTTGCCGACGTCAACAGCACCTGCGAGGGAGGGCTTTATGTGAACACAAACATGAAGCACAGCACGAGTTCGAATGCAGGGCCGTGGGCTCGCATGCAGGATGATGCACTTTTGCAGCTCACTCCAACAACACGATGGCATCGTCGCCCTTGCGAGACCAGATGCAAGCCGAAAAAATGCATGCCGTGTTGATGAAGAAACTTTCGTGCTTCACACGGTACATGTGATCGGCCACATGGCTCCATGGACTCATGCATGTGAGAGGCAGGCCGTCAACCTCAACATGAAAGTGAATCATGCCGACAACGTGTTCCTGTGCATGCTTGGCTCTGACGACATCTCCATGGGAGCACCGGAATCCTCCGCCATGCAATGCTGCCTGTGCTTGAAACACACCGTCGGAGTTGCCGAACACATCCCGGATCAGGCTGGCCATTGCCTTTGTGCACCGTCTCTTGCCGATGAGTCGCACATCCCCTTGAGGGAGTTCGTCCTGCATCGCAAGGAACTGAGCTGCAAGGGTCTCGCGAAGGACGGTAGCTTCGTATGATCTGGAGGTGTCCTTCATGTTGTTTGCGAACCTCTTGACCAGTTTGTGTTTCCTTTCGTGCACGAAGCACGAAAGGAGCAGCCCGTGACGAGACAAGAATTCGGGTAGGTGCATGGTCATATGGTTCTTCGGAACCCAGTACTCTGCCCCGTAGTTGGCGAGGTATAGTTCGCAATGCTCCTTAATGGCACCCCTGAGGGCAGCAGGGTCCAAGCCACCCTGAGTGGCTTTCCTCAGCATGCGAAGGATTTTGCACAAGGTGAAGAATCCGTGACAGCAACTCTTCAGGGAGTCGTCAGCATCCCTCCAGACGAAGAGGATAAGGAACAAGTGCAGGACCGGCAGGAAATTAAGGAGCTCGGAGGCTTCTGCTTTCACCGGGGCAGTCTTGTTCTTTGGTTTTTTGGCGAGAACTGACTTGGCATCCGCACCAGCGAATTGCACCGGCCAATGGAAGGATTGCACGGAGTCGTGTATCTGTTGCTCGGGAAAGCCACTGTCTCGGAGGCGGCCTAGCAACACCCCAACCTCGTTACCGGCCACACCGTGGACCAAGTAAATGTGGAACCAATCGAACATGATCATCTCCGGAATGTTGTGTCCTACATTCGACATCAAGAGGCCTCCCGGCATGTAGTTGTAGCCCAAAGCTTTTTCCATTGTTTGGAAGTCCTTCTGGGAAACCGTGCCATGTTGGGAAGAGAGGTACCTCATGATTCCACCGACCGACCGGTTCGTGTGCAAGCGAAACTTCGTGAAGTCAGTGCATGTCGACGAGAGAACATCGCCATGGTCCTGTAGCCCGCTTCGGTGGGCAACGACATTCGCACATCTCATACAAAACACTGTGCCCGAGGCACCTTTGCTTTCAGCTGTTTGTTTCAGGGCTGCCTCGTCCGCTATAAGAACAGAGAGGTCGGCAAAGACGGGAAATGCTGTGGTGGATGTCTGCAGCACCACACCATGCCTCATGTCATGATCCATGAACATGTGCTGGATGGCATGTTTCCAAAGCACAGTGAGGCCGCCGATCCGATTGCAAAGAGTGCTTCTCAGTATACACAAAGGGAACCAAAGCCACTCCGAGGCCAGATCTTGCCCGTGCTGGACGATGGACCAGTAGATGACTTGTAGTTTCCTGGCATTCAGCGGTTTTAGCTGATTGCCGGGACTAACTTCATCAGCATATATAGCGATGCCCAGCTTGTCTCCAGGGCTGGACTGGCCACACTTTTTGAGCAGTCCATGGTAATGCTCGTTGGCGATGCAGTGCTGCAGCAGCACAACAGGTGGCACGAAGGGAACCCTTACAAATTTCGTGTCATCGCTCTCATGTGGGATGTCCATGTTAATGATCATCTGCCCAAAGGCATTCTCCCACGACTTCTCTTCACCATCCCTCGCTCGCTTAACCGAGGCTCGCGAGGTGGTAGCAAAATCGTCGGCGAGGAAACCGGTCTTCTTCAAATCGCTGAGCACGGATTCCAGACCTCGTTGTGATACAAACACCTTCCTCCCCAGGCTTGCCAAAGGTTTGGAGCTGGAGCTGGATGTCATGATTCGGGCAATGCCCAAGCTTTGCAGGAATTGGTCCTGGCCACGAGCCAAGGGCCCTGCAGCACGGACTCTTTTAGTGTAGCTTTGTTGGCGATTTTCCATGCATGGATGAACTGTCACACACATGTAAAGTTTGCAGCACAATACTCCGAATATATTATGATCGAACCCCAGGAACCTTCAGCTTTAAAACACCAACAGACTACACAATACATTTCCTATATGTATACATTATATGATATACAGACCCACTAAATGTATAGTTTAAACTCTATATATAAATATGTACCAATCGGAAACCCCGAACCTGTATATAGGCTCTGAGATATACACTATGAACCCTTTCACGACACACATCCTCTATAACACTGCACAGGAGCTCCAGCTTCCATTCCATGTCACATGTCAGGGCACACATGCATCGGCCACATTTTGAGATGCTCTTGCTGCAGCCCGTGTGCAGCCGGACTTCATAATGCATGAGTGAGAGTGCCTGAGACACGATGTGAATCAGGAGTCTCTACTTCAAAAAGCAACTAGGGCAGCAGCCTCGCTTCCATCGGCACTTTGCACATCCTGATGGCCTCATTCGAACTCGTTCATCCCAATCCGGAACCTTCTTGGCACCCTTGGACTTGGGGGCAGCCTTGGCCTTGGTCTTCGCCTTCGCCTTAGCCTTAACCATCGGCTTCGTCGTCGCCTTGGCTTTGGCTTTGGCTTTCGCCTTGCACATGCCCTTCGCCTTTGCCTTGGCTTTGCTCTTTGGCTTTGCCTTGCCCTTCGCCTCGGCCTTCTCGCTGCCACCCTCCGGATCACCAGCCTTGCCATCCTCGGCTTTCTTCTTGTTCTCCTCTTGACGATTCTTCCAGCTGGAGAGCATGGTGTTCACCTGCTCTTCCGGAGTCATAGGCGGCTGAGCTTGCTCCGGCTCTGCACGTGCTGGACTCGATGCTGCATCGGGTCCATTCGTGATTGCGAGGGTTTGCTTCGGCGGGTTCGTCTTGGTGTTGTTCATGAAGATGTTCTGCTGGCCGGACATGCCAGCCTGCTGTGCACCTGCGAAGACATTGAACATGTGCTGCATGCTCTGGAACCCTTGCATCATCATATTCGCCATGTTGTTCTGCGAAGGCACCTGAAGGTCTAGAGTAGGAACCTTCTGGTTGTTCTGGCTCTTCAACATCGCAGAAGACTTTCGAACTGGACCGATGGAGCCACCCAGGCCGGCATGTCCGGACGGCCCTTCCTCGCCATATGCTCTCGTATACACATCGGAGGGTAGATCTGCCGGTGTCGTGAAGTTGTGCACATGGCTCGTCGACCCACTGGGATTGGACTTGAAGTGCGACTTCAAGGCTGCTTTGAAATCCTGAACTGTGTTGTAAAACACTTGAGGGTCCTCGAGTTCCTTGAGGCCAAAGTCGTTCTTGAGCACTCCCACAGCTCGGCCCGAAGTAGGCTCCGTCGGGCAGCTGCAGTTGATGCTGCAAAACATCATGGCCATCCGACTTGCCTTGGCCTTAATGGTGTGGTCTGGGTTCGAGATGAAGGTCACATCCGAGGCCCGGAGGAAACTTCCCGGGTCGTCCATGGTCTGCATGGACTTCTTGCTGCCCTGTGATTTGGGTGTGCTGCATGCCACGAAACGATCACCGATCTGCCGCATCAGCTCGTCCTTCTGACTCTCGCTGAAGTTCAAGGACTGCACCGTAGCGAACAGTGTCTGGACTTCTGCTGAATCCGTGAGCCGGAGACCCGAAATCTGCTTCTTGGCAGACTCCATACAGGACTCGATCATCCGGTCTTTCGTTGTCTGGTCTGTCATGGTCTCTGCGAGTGAGGAGATGGTGAGCAGTTGGTCGCCCAAGGCTTTCGAAGTCGCCATGCCGGAAATCTGAGTGTGGAATACCACAAAAGTGTTCGAGCACTCCATGCATGCACGTGCAGCCATGAAGGAGGCAATGCATCATGGATGTATACAATGCCATGCATGCATGCATGTGCTCCCTTTTGAAACACCCATGCAATGCATGTTCCTGCCTGCGAGCTTCTACAGCCCTGCGAGACGAATTGTGAATGTGTGATCTATATACATGCCATGTCATCTGCAGTTTCAAAGAAGCACACATGCGAGCACTCCAGAGTGCCAACCGGCTGGATCAAAACGAATGCCCCCTGTCGGTACATAGTGCCAATTAAGGTATACAATGTGTAGCACATATACACAAGCACCAGTGAAGGCAGACTGTGGAATCGACCGAACATAGCAACACAAAGAAAGCTTCAGACTGCATGCGACATGCACTCGACCCTCCCTATGACTTCTGCGGTCGCCAGCATTTTCCTTCAAACTCACACCTGCTCAGCTAAGTCTTTCTGTACAAGGCAAGAGACTTCGAGAAGGGCGCCTGGCATGGGAGCTCGCATCTGTATACTAAAGTAGATGTAAGAATATACATATATATATGGCTATATGGACAGCTATAGATATCTATGGAGGAGAGCAACAAAATACTTATATATATGTATACGTGACTATATATATATATATATATATATAGAAGTATATAGAAGTATATATAATATCTATATATATATATATATAGATATATATTCCCAGCTCCCGTAGTCTACAGGCGAGGCCCGAGCCGTGCTGTACATGGCTTGCCAACGGTGCAGGATTACACCCAGCCACTCCTACAGTATAGTGTGCGGTCCGAAAACCCAAATATGCAGCAGCATGCACAATCCTGTATAGCAGCAGTTGCAACAGGCACCCGAAATATAAAGCTGCTATCGGTGTTTGTGTGTGTACCTCATGCACATGCCCGTCTTCCTATGTCCGAAAATCCTTCTATAAAGTCACATATAGTTTCTACATCACAAGAGAATAAGAAACATCTAATATAGACACATGCATATATGTGTACAGCTACATGGGTTGTACACATACATACATACATATACAAATATATATATATATATATATATATATATATATGTCTGCACAGACATATCTACATGGAGTATATAATGCCCATATTCTAGATATACATACATACATATCACACATACAGACCTATATATACATAAACCACGATCCCTCGTCCTCCGAAAACAATGTATATGGTATATACCCCAAATATACACAGTGTGGCTATACATGCATATAGCAATACCCTCGTACATCTTAGATGATATAATGTACAAGCACAAATCGTATTTTCCTGAACACAGAAGCCCGTGAAACCAGAAACCCAGCCCCCCAGGCCGCCAGGTGCACGAACCAGAAGCACGAAAAGTCTGGACCCCAGGGTCACGACCACTAGGCGAAACCCTCTGCTGCTGGGCTGGAACAGATCTGCACCGGGACAACCCCGATGTTTCCAAGACCCTGCCACAAACCCTTTGAAGCCTGCCAGGGTAAAGGTTTCAGATGGTTCGGGGTTCGGGGATTGGGGTTGATGGTTTGGGAGCAACGGTTTAGGAGTTGTTTTTTGATTTGAAGTTGGGGTTTAGGTTTTCGGTCACAAGGTAATAGATCTACAGCTGGGAATCACCATTTTTATCGATCGATAAATTTGGGATGGGTCCAGGGCACCGAGATTTATAGATTGATAAATCTGTTGGTGTATTCTAAGGCCTGGGCCTACCATTCTTATTGATCTATAAATCCTGGGCTGGGGTTAGGCTACAATTTTTATCGATCGATAAATCTGGGCTAGGTCCAGAGTCCCGGGTTTTATCAATCAATAAAAACCGGTCTGTGGCCAGATCCCATACATCGGGCTGTGCAGCCAGCTAGGACACCGCAAAAGCACACGAGGACCTAGGTCGGAAAGGTTGGGAAGACTGTGCTCCGAAGCCTTTGCGAGTGCCTATACAGCACTGTGCCAGTGCCTATGCAGCAGTGCCCCACTATTGCCAGAGTCCTTAGGCTACAGTTTTTTAGGAACCAGCACCGGCTCCCCAACCCCCTTTGAGAGGCAAGCCCCGCCGGCGCCAATTTCAGGCAGCCCACCGGCTCACTTGCCGTGGCCACCAGCCTTGTCCTGCCACCGAAACACAGCAGCAGGGCAGTGCTCGCTGCTAGTGACTGCATGCATGGGTGGTGCACATGTAATGTCACGAAAGCCTGGTCCAGCATGTGGTCGATGAGCCTCGCCACACTTTCGGACTGTGTCGAGACTTGAGAAGACATTCTTGAAGGTCTGGGGCTTAGGGTGTTTATGTGGGGTTAAGTGCATGCTGGGGCACCACCGACCATGCCAGATTCGCCGCCCCCTGGCCCCGACTCCTGGCTCTTGTCCGGCCAGCACCAGGCCTCATCCAAAAGCTTGCTGGTTTCTGTTTTTATGAACATGCATGCAGTCCTCCTTGAGTGCCGGGCGGGTTCCACTTGTCGCCATCATGATAAAAGCCGCCCACCCTCCAGCCTGCACCGTCCTTCTGGACGACCCCCGAAGGCGGAGGCGGCGGTGTGCTCGAGGACGAAGCCGATGGGTTCTAGCAAGGACAGCAAACAAAAACCCACAAAGACATCAAGGAGACCAGGCAGACCCCTCCTTGGCGGCTGGAGCCGGGGGTGGCGGTGGGATCCATGGCATTTTGCCCTGGCAAGCAGGCAATGACAAGGCCCCCCCCCGCCCATCTCAAGAAAACAAGAGGCCTTCTTGGATTTCGGCGGCGGCTCCTTGGGCTCGGCCGGCTTCTTGCAAGCCTGCCATACACAACATGTTTTGTACACCGCAACACACATGCAATCTTCGCCTTGACCGGGATCTCCCTCGGCCGCTTCTTCGGCTTAGGAGGCATCCATTCCTCCCGAAGTCGTTATTTTAAATGCAAGACCACGAACACAGCGACACTGTCCTTCTTGTCGGGCTCCTCACATGTAACCTCCTCCATCTCGTCGTCTTCTTCCTGGTTGTTTTGAAAGTGCAACTACAACTCACATCGTTCAACCTGGGCACTGAGTGCAGTACCTTTGGCCGATCCGGCTCCTTTTCCTTCTTCATCACCTCGTAGTCCTGGGCATCGATCTCCTCACACCAGATCGAAACACACATGAAGTTCACTTCTTTGCTCTATAGGCCCAGGCCTGGAGCACAAGCTCAGCAGGGCACCACGTGCCCTCCCAATCTTGGCACAGCCAACCTGCCGAGACTGAGATAGCACAAATAGGCTCGGGGTTGGGGGTTTTCATGTTTGATTGAAGGCTTTTGGCCTTTGTGGTTGTGCTGTATAGTGTGTATATATAGTTTATAACATATATGTATGTGTATATATATATATATATATGTATGGGCATATATATACATATATATATGTCTCGCACATACATACATACATACATACATACACACATACATGTGTATACAGATGTGTGTGTATGTATAAATGTATGTATGTATGTATGTATGTATATATGTATAAACACAAATATGTAAAAGTTAGGAACCTGAGCGCCTTTTCTGTGTACACATGCTGCACACCTACATTATATAGATATAATATATAACACCATATATTATATAAACCATAAACCATGAACCCGTATATACCCTAAACTCTACAAAACCCGAAACCCTTGAAAACACAACCCTGTAAAAACCTGCATGCCTTCGGTCGGGGGTGTCTCCTCGCGGCTCTCGTGCTTGTAGAGGAGGTTGCCTGCAGAGAAGAGACGATGAAAATGTGGGACAATGGCACATCCCCGGCCTAACATGTCGAGGATTCTCCACTTCTTCTTCTGCTTGTGCCAACCGAGGATGGCTGAGCTGTTGCTCCATGTGGCGTCCTGCATGGAATAAAAAAGGATGCCCTTTTTGGTTTAAAGGGCCTTATAAGGGAACTGTCCTCGTTCGGCAGCAACACCTCCAGGAGCCCGCACCGATCAAAGGCCCACCATTGCGGTGAGTCCTGACCAGCACACACATCTTTTTGGTTGCATGGGAGACAGGAACCAGGCCTCCGCCACATCAGGGCTGATCATGCAGCTATAACCCGTGCACGACATGGTCTACAGGCTACAGCTGCACACGAAAAAAGCTCGAAGCCTGAGCCACATGTCAACCGATACATGAGGAGACCGATGCACGTGCACAGAACCGAGCACCACGAGGAAGCAAGCACTTGCAGCAACCGGCATATTTGGCACATGAAGTTCCTGCATGCCAGCGAGAGAAAATTATGCGATATGTGCACACATGTATATATGTTCCTGCCAACGAGCAAATTGCCCTGCTGACGAAAACCTACTTCCTGCAGGCCTTGGCCCTTTTAGGCTTGATCGTCTTTCGTGGCTTGGCCTCAGAATGCTTGAAGCTGGTCTGGATGTGCTTCACGACATCGTCCTTCAGTTCCAGCCACATAGTCCGAGTGCCCACCCCCTCGAACAAAGTTCGGCATTGGACCTTGTTGCCATCCTCGGCCTCGCCGGGCAAGTCAATCTGAATGCTGTGGGGTGCATAAATGTCATGCTTCTGTGTAGCTTTGAACTCCTTGGTTTTCTTGGTCTTCTTCTGGGCCTTCTCCGGCTGTGGGGCTTCGTCATTCTCTTCATCCTTGAGTCTTTCGGAGATAGCCTCGTTGAATGCTTCTTGGCGACGGGCCAACATGTTCTCGAAGAAAGGTGTGTCGAGTGACAAGTTTTGATTGTCCGTATTCTTCCTCAGATCCAAGCCCTTGCCGTACACGAACCGAAACAATCCTCGATCCCACTTGCTCACTTTGAACCATGTGACTCCCTCGGCCGTCTTTTGTTCCGGGATCCAAGTGAGCCCTGACCCGTATGTGACGATCTGTTTTGTCACCACCGTGGGTGCGGTCATCTCCTCATCTTCCTGCTCCATGCTGGCAAAGCTACGAAATCACGGATGAAGCTGGAGCTGCAAAACTTCGTGAATGACATGCAATCATGAATGCCATGGCTTTTGGCGCTTTTACATGCAATCGTGCTCGCAGTCATGCACACTTGCACACATACACGGGCTCGGGCATCTTTCCTGCAGGCTGCAAGTGCATGTTCTTTCATGTGCATGGATCGTGGTGGGCAGCACAGCTGCTGCATGGTTCAAAGCAATGGAGGAAGTGCCCGTGAGCTCTCTCGGACAGCTGCACACAAAATGGCATGGGATGCATCACACTCGGGCTTCAGGAGTCTCCCGGCTTCTTGGAGCAGATTCGCTTCCTTGGCGGGGTGTCAACCTGCAAGGCCTCGACGTGCACAGTCTTCTCGGCCTTTGGCATATACAGCACATCGTCCTGCTGCAGGTCCAGGGTGTTCTTGAGGATGGGGAGTTGAACCTTCTTGTCTCGATTGGACTTGACATGCGAAACCTCGCAATTCCAAGTGTCACTCACGGGAAGCGGCTGCACAAGGAATGCAGGATTGATGAAGCCAGCATCCCCTTCGGCTTTCGGAATCTGAATGAACGAAACAATCCAGAAGAAGTAGTCACTCATGGGGGTGATGATATCGAAAATCGCATCCTCGGGCTTCTTCTGACCGTGCTTGATCGTCAAACCCATGGGGACCATGATGAGCTTGTTTTTCGGGATGAATGCCGTGGCTTGGACTGACTTACGAGGCTTCAAAGTGACCCTGAGCTTCTGCAGCATGGGATTCGTGTCGTGCTTTTGCATGAGCTCATGCATGTCCATGTACAAGCATGCCAACAGCATCTGTCGCTCGTATTCGGGGAAGTTCAAAGGCGAACACACTGACAAGTCATCCACCGTCTGGGGTTCCGGCTTGGGTGTGTAGACCTGCCAGTGGCCTGCGAGAAAGCTGTCGATCGACACCCGCACTACGGACCCCGAGGGCTGCTTCAGCTTGACACGGCCAAGCTCGATCGCCGTCACCTGGCCAGTTTCCTGATCCGCCTTGCGACGGACATATTGGCCGACTGAAAAGCCGGACTCGGCCATCATCACCGCTGAATCCTTCACCGAGCCGTCGGAGCTCAGCTCCCTCATGATGGCCATGGGTGCTCCCACCTGTTTGGAACCCGATGCCTCACCCGAATCTGCGACCTTGTGTGCCGCCCAGGGCCCATTCAGGTCTGTTTTGAGGATGCCTTCCAAAATCAGGACGAGGTCATGGGCGAGGGATTGGCTTGTCTTATACTTCTTCAAGTCTTCACCGGGCAACATCACATTCAGGGTGAAGGCAGCCAAGGACATGTCCCCATAGGACAAGCAGGTCTGCACTTCGGGTTTCATGAGAAGCTCTGCACCATCCGGCAGGGCCGTCACAAGCTTTCGCCACGTGCTCATGATGGTGTCTGCCTCCTTGACAGAGGCCGTTGAATCCTTGTGCAACATCTTCTTGCACTCGGCAGACCCCACAGCTTCTTTGCAGTATGCAAGCTTCACCTAAGAGCAGCAGCAACAACAACAACAACTAGCAACCTCGGCCTTGCAATCCCATATGTGACCTGTACATGCATGCATGCTTATGAATCAAGTGGCCATGGCATGCCGGAACCGTGGGAATTGGTTGGAACCTTTGACATCGGCACTGACCTTCTCCCAGAAACCAGGTCCCAATGAACGTGTGCTGGGGGAATGCAACCTAACGAAGGTTTCAGTCTCGTTGAGCAAGAACGGATCTGTGCCACCCGCAGTCTTCAACACGAAACTGTAAAGATGCGGCATGGACTTGCCATGCACGGACTTCCCCGTGGTGACTTTGCTCTTCAGTGCCAGGAAGTCCACAGAACCCTGAGAGCTCATCTGGACCCAAGTCTGATGCAGCCGTCTCATCAGTTGGAGCTCGTGTTCGCCACGGTGAAGTGTGGCGTTTCCCATCCTTTGGACAAGTCCCAACAGCTGCGGCAGCTGGGCAGCGACGTGCTTTGACAAGATCTTCCAAACGACTCCTTCGCGAACCGCCCTCGCGAAGTCCGGATCGTGCTTCCGAAGCAGCTCCATGCTGAGTCTTCCATCATGACACACGGTCTCGTCTCCTTCATGCATGACCTCATAGTGGAAGCACCGCAAGACCGAGTTTGTGTGTGACCCTGCCAGGGAGAGTGCTTTGATCATCGTGGGCTCCAGGGGCCCACAGCGATCATGCATGCTTTGGAAGAGACGGACATTCCAATCGATGTCCTCTTGCCCAGTTGGCTCATGGGCGATGGCCTGGACCCTGGCATCAAGCCAGCCGGCTTGAACTATGTCGCCCAGAAGATCGTGGACATCTACGGGATTAATCCCGCTCCCGTCGCGGTTCTGGGAACTGATCCCGACCATGGTCGGTTGAAGCTGCATCGTGTAGACGTGGCCCTGCGACTCAAGCTGGCTGATAGCCCCATGCACCGTCTTTACAAGTCGATCGCCTTCTTGCACCTGTTGCAGCTTGAACGAGATGTCCGCAACGAGATCAGCAGACAAAGCCATGCTGTGTTTCGGAAGCGGTCGTGTGTGTGTGTGCAGTGAGTGCTGTCACAGCCAAGATGCTGCATGCAGATATGAACTGTCAGTTTGAAAGTCATGCAAGAATGTCGTGACAGCCTGCCGGCGAGCAAATTGCCCTGCACGACGACTTCCTATATACACATGCAGGGCATCGTATACCACTGCATGTACACGTGATGCAAAGACTGCAAGTGTATACACATACATGCAAACACTGCATGAAAGCTGCAAGCATCACTGCATGTCTCTCATGATGGGAGTCTCGACATGGCCAAACATGCTCGGAACACTGAACTCATCACTTGCAAAGAAGCGGGGGGCGGAAGCACCTTTCGATGCCGTCGACGTCGGCAACCACCAGCTGCACCGACCTGCAAATGCTTTGCCCCGATGAAGTTAGGGTACTTATATAAGTACTTATAAATGACTTAGATAACCGATATAACCGTGTCCAAGTACTTATCTTCCACTTACAGCATTTGTCCCAAGTCACTTATAAATGTGCTAAGTGCTTATTAACTCAAACAACTACTTATAACCACCCTCGCTCACTTACTAAGTTCAAAAACACACTTACCCAACATGGTACACTTATAAGTCAAGATAGCCCGATTATAAGTTCACTTGCAGGCTTTACTAACCACCGCAACCCGCCCATTCGGATACTAAACAACACGATCCTTCAAGTAGTGAGCCGGTCCGCTGATGTGAACGTCAGCGGGCACGGCGTCGAGCGATCTGGGGGGCTGCCCTGGAACTATGTACTGAGCAGGCTCGGCGAACAAAGGAGAACGCCCTTTCGGAGCCGCTCGGCCTTGGCGTGGAGGACCAGCCTTGGGATCCACATAGTAGACCGGCTGATCCATGCCTCTGTTGCGATGAGCTTTGGCCGGGGGCGCTTTGGGCACCGGCCGCTGAACAGAGGGCACGCCCATCACTTGATCCCAGTTGAGGGGAGGATCTGCCCCGTGATCGTAGCCGGCCGGCTGGTGACGATCGCGATCACGATGAGCCGGCGGCGTGACCCAGGGGGTCTTTCGGCAGAAATGACACATATCCAGGCGACGATCGCAAGCCGTGCACAAAGGAGTGCGCTGGTTGGGGGCCCACTCTTCGCGGGGGACCCGAACGGCTGCGTAACATTCGTCTTGGCCGTCCCCGTCGCAGAAGCAGCCGGTGAACAGGCCGCAATCCACGCAGGGACGGCAGAGCTGATCTGTGTCGCCGAAAGCGAGCGCTTGAAGGCCAACGTCGTTGCGAGGATCCCGCATACCGAAAAGAACAGATAGGGTGGAGAGGGTGGGATTTTTCGGTATGGCCCGATCGGCTATCGCCAAAATGGCCACGGAGAAAATAGATCAAGTCTGTTCCAACGATCGCGAAACTGATCTCCTAATTCCTACCCACCAGACCGATAATTAGGAGACCAGTTACTACGATCGCAGACGTTCGGTGCCCTCACTGAACAGACTATCGGCGATCGCACCTTTTTCATGCGACCGCAACGTGGGAGTCGGCCACAGTCGGATCATCAAAATTTCACTTGATCTTCACAAGTCCGATCGGACCCCCGATCGCCGAGGGGTGCGCCATGGCATTCGCCACAGACCGCAACATCATCCGATCGGACACATCAGACAAGCGATATTCCCAGGCCCTCAAACTCCTTTCGGAAAGTCCGAGAGGACAGTGATCCAACCACACATCAGACCTGTAGCGACATCACCACGAGAGGGATTATCCGCCGGGTTCGAATCGGTCGGTACCCGATCGATATAAACAGAGCACCTAAGCTCCAGAACAAGCTCCCAGAAAATTCCTACGAGCTCGCAGACGTCCTCTTTTGCAGAGTAGCCTTTGATCAAAGCTGCCTCTACAGGCTCGGAATCGATAAAGAGGAGGACCAGCTTTCCACGGATCTCTTCCCTGAAAGTCTGTATCGCAGCGACCGCGGCCAAAAGTTCGATCATGCAAATTTGGGTTTTCCGGGGGAACCACCTCGACATGATCTGCCGTGACACCCCCGAGGCGAATTGCCTAGGCTGATCGTCCCTAGTGAACATCACTCCTCCAATCATCTCAGAAGAGGGATCCTTGGGGTTCGAGCTCGGCGCCGATCCATCCGTGAAGATCACCACGTCGGACTTCCGCGGCCCCGAACTGGGGATAGGCCTCGGAGGCCCATGCATCACGAGCGTCCGCCACTTGTAGAGAGAGTAGAGGAGAGCAGGCGATAGGCTCGTACTGGCCGTCTTCCGGGAGTATTGCCTCTCCGACAGAGATCTCAGGAAGGCTCGACCGATCTTCCCCCAGAGCTGCGAAGCGCCGAACATCAGCTTTCCTCTGAGCTTCCCGGCTTGGCCGGGAGACATCTCTTCGTGTTCCAGGATCGACGAGATCTCGTCGAAGAGCTCCTGCTTCCTGGACTTCTTGATCTTGAGCAAGTACTGATCGAGGTCATAGGTCACGCCCAGGATCGTGGGATCCGAGCAGAGCTGGAGCTTCTGCTGATCGAACCGGGCCCCGAGCCACCAATGGACTTTCTCGGCCAGCGCGAACGCACTATCTGCCGTGGCTTCCGGCTCGAAGCCGTACTTGTCGTCATAGAAGTTGAAGCCGGCCACGATGAACACGCGCCTTAGAATGTCGGTAATCGCAGCCGAGCGGCGGTTGTAGTTATAGACGGCCGAGACCAAGCCGAAGGAGTGGCCGACCATCACGAAGAACGCCACCTTTCCCGTGGCCGGATCCTTCAGAGCGACCACACTCCACTTGCGATGGGCCGGAGAGATCGGCACCTGCCGATAGGCTCGCCGCTCGTCCAGGACCCAACCACGTAGCGGGGACTTCGGCAGCCGCGAGCGCAGCCACTTGATCACCGCCACGTTCGCGTCCGTCGAGGGGAGTTCGAGTTTCTCGGTGACGATCGTCGCCATGTTGATCCCATTTGAGGTAGCACTGTCAACTCCCCTGACTTTGTTCTTTTGAACCACTTCAAAGCGCTGAGTAGGGATCCAACGATCATCGCCGACGAACTCCGAGACTTCGGCCTCGTCGAAGAAGGGACCGATCGCCGACCCTTCTCGAACATCTTCCATGGTCCCTTCCCAGACCTTGGGAGAGTGCTCGGTGATCGGAGATTTCCGAATCGCGCCTAACACCTTCGATCGAAATTCCCAGGCCCTCGAGCGAAGGGCATCAACCGAGAGATGCTCCGCATGAGGTTTGCGATCGGGCTTCCATCGGTGGGAGGAGGCAATATCGCCGACGATCGGCATGCCCGCCATGATCTGATCTACCAGGTCAGTGTCACTGCATTTGGCCTCATTCATGAGCTCCCGCCAAAGGGCGACGTGGAAAAACTGACCCATTTCCAGTGGACGATCGTCTGGGCCGCCGCGAAGAAGACGGCGCAGATGCCGATCTGGTATCTGCTTGAGCAAGGAGTCAGAGGACGGGAGCAAATCTTGAGCTCGCTGTTCCCAATGCTGCAGAAGAGAGGCTCGACGATCGCGCACTTGAGCAGGATCACGAACAATTTGCTCCAGAACATCAAGGAGGTCTGGGTCGATATCCGCGTCCTTTGTGAACGGGTGCGTAGCTTCCAAGGCGAAAGCGATCGCTTCACCCGGGTGCATCTCCGTGCCGATCAGCGGAGCCACGACAGACTTCTTCATCTGGTAACCCGCGGCGACGGCCTTCTTGCCGGCCGATCGTTGACGATGTTCCGCGGCTTTGACCGGGGCGCCATGGGGCCGCTTCCGATCGGAGTCCGGGGTCTCGAGCGCAGAAGCCCAACTGAAGGAGTTGTTCGAACTCGTCGGCAGGGATCCGATCGACCCCCTGCACCGAGTACACGGCGAGGACCACCCGAGTTCCGATCCAGGGCAGAGTCGCGTGCAGAGCTTCCTTAGCGTTGAAGATGATCTTATTGTCGACGAAGTCGGTGAGGAAACCGGGGATGGAGCGTCCCTCGATTTCTCTCACATCGGGCCCGAGCGGGTCTTCGATCCAGAGCCCGCCTCCTTCAAACGACCCGAGCTTGAAGACAATGTTCGGGATCGGCTCATTGCCCGAGTCACGGTGAGGTTCGGCCTCCTGATCGTAGAGGACGGCGAACGACGTGAAGAGCGCCTCAGGAGCCTGTTGAGCGATGTACGTGGTGATCGCCTTGATCGACCACGGCCATGAGTGACAGGACGATCGCAGTCTTGTAATGCCTCCGTGGCGATAGGCTCCCGCGAAGAAAGCCCCGCCTCGTTCGTCGGCAGCCTTATGCTGACCCTGAACAGGGAGCTCTGTAGCCAAGTCGAGGATCTCCTCACGCAGAAGCGGAGCTCGCTTTTTCAGGAGATCTTGTGCGCGGGATTCCAGATCACAGCCCCCACGCGCGCCGGACAAGGTAAGGTGAGGAGCACTATCAGATTCGCTGGGAACCGATCAGTGGTTGCTGATCATGGCATGCGGCTCCCCACAGACCATGCACAGGTGCTTGAAACGACAGTTGTCGCCGGACACGCAACCGAGCGAGGAGTTGAAGTAGTGGCACCGGCGAGCGCCCTGCACCTTCTTGGCCGCATCGGCGATGAGCTTCCACTCCTTCTCTGGGATCCGATTGTCCCGCTTGAGCTTCTTGTTGGGATCTTCCTTAACGACCTTCTTCGGCGGATCGTCCTTCGAAGGAGTCTGCAGTCGCTTCTTCTTCTTCCCTCCGCCCCGAGGCCTTTTGAACGGGGTGTGGGGAGGAGGAGGAACTTCATCCTCCTTGACCTGATCAGGGTTATTCGCGAGCTGCTGGCGGTTCTGTTCCATCTTCGAGAGAGTCGCTGAAGTGCGAGCATCGTTCCACAAATATTTGTGGTTGGTGAGCACCTCGACCAGGGCCTGCGAGAACGAGATGTACGTCGCTCTCTGTTCAGACAGCAGGCGAAAGATCTTCTTCCGGATAGCTCGGTCCGCCGCCATGAGGAATGGCAAGCCGG